GTGAGTGTGTGAGAGTGTGAGAGTGTGAGTGTGTGTGTGTGAGAGAGTGTGTGAGAGTGTGTGTGTGTGAGAGAGTGTGTGTGTGTGTGAGTGTGTGAGAGTGTGAGTGTGTGTGTGTGAGAGAGTGTGTGTGTGTGTGAGAGTGTGAGAGTGTGTGAGTGTGTGTGTGTGAGAGTGTGTGTGAGAGTGTGAGTGTGTGAGAGTGTGAGTGTGTGTGTGTGTGAGAGTGTGAGAGTGTGTGAGAGTGTGTGTGTGAGAGTGTGTGAGAGTGTGAGTGTGTGTGTGTGAGAGTGTGTGAGAGTGTGAGAGTGTGTGAGTGTGTGTGTGTGAGAGTGTGTGAGAGTGTGAGAGTGTGAGTGTGTGTGTGTGTGTGAGAGTGTGAGAGTGTGTGAGAGTGTGTGTGTGTGAGAGTGTGTGTGTGAGTGTGTGTGTGTGTGTGAGAGTGTGAGAGTGTGTGAGAGTGTGTGTGTGTGAGAGTGTGAGTGTGTGTGTGTGTGAGAGTGTGTGAGTGTGTGAGAGTGTGTGTGTGAGAGTGTGAGTGTGTGTGTGAGAGAGTGTGTGAGAGTGTGTGTGTGTGAGAGTGTGTGAGTCATGTGGTGTTATAGAGCTGCAGTCTGAGTGGCTCTGATGAGGAACGTTCTGCTGCAGATCCGTCTGTGATAGAAACACATTATCACCACTCAGCCCCCCCCCCACACACAGCCCCCCCCCAACCACCTACACATACATACAGGTGAGATCCAGATGAGCGTGTAAAAGCTCAAAGGATCAATCAGCACTTCAGCGCCATCTGGTGGTGTTTGGTAGAACAGCACTGTTTGCTAATTTGTTGGTTTTGGCTGGACAGTCCAGCAGGTCAGCCTCAGAGAGTCGGTGGGCTTTTCTGTCTCCCATCGGTGGTCAGTGAGAGTAGCCGGTCACAGTTTTACTAACGAGCCACTGCAGCGTTCTCAGTGTAGCAGATACATCATGAAAATGAGCAAGAAATGAAGATAAAAATACACAGATTTGTAAATACAGTTAGTTTAAGAAGGCTGCCTGCATCATACACCCCAGTCTGTCACTGACTGACCGACTGAATCATTGACTGACTCACTAACTGACTAACAAAGTCACTGACTGGCTGACTGAGTCACTGACTGAATCATTGACTGACTCACTGACTGACTGACAAAGTCACTGACTGGCTAACTGAGTCACTAACTGAGTCACCGACTGACTGACTGACTGATAGACTGACTGACTGACTGATTGAGTCACTGACTGACTGAGTCACCGACTGACTGAGTCACCGACTGACTGAGTGACGGATAGACTGACTGATTCACTGACTGACTGAGTGACGGATAGACTGACTGATAGACTGACTGACTGACTGAGTCACTGACTGACTGACTGAGTCACTGACTGACCAATCAATGTCCACTGTTGAAACATGCATGTGCAAGTGTCCTCTAAATTAAGCAGCAGGTGCTGCTGTACCATGAACACTCAGAACCCTTTCCATGCTTAAATGGTTCTCTTCATGGTGAAATGGTTCTTCAGATTGATGGAGAACGTGTAGTATATTGTTCTTCTATTGTTACAAGCTTGAATCCTAACAATAGTAGAACACTTTTTGGTGCTATACAGAACCATGTACAACACATTCTCCACTTGAAGAACCATTTCACCATGCAGAGAACCCTTTAAGCATGCAAATGGTTCTTTGAGTGTTTATTGTTCTACATAGACCACTGTCTTAACTAAAGAACCCTTGAAGAATCTTTTTAAGAGTGAACCAAACACTGTCAGTGTTTACAGTGCTGAGTTTGGGGACTGAGGAGGTTAAACAGTCTGTTATTGGAGCTCAGAGTCAGGAGGAACTGACCAATCAGCTCACAGAACAAACACTCTGCTGATAAAAGACCATTACAGCAATTAGAATTAAACACTTTCTAATGGGAATTGGCTTAATGGTTACCATTAGAGACCATAGTTTCCTGTAGGACAGATTTAGCTCCATTAGGAAACTATAATCTATAATCAGAACAGCTGTTAAACCATTAGAGTCCTTTACACTGTGATATCAACCCATCAGGAGAACACACAACACCATCCGTGGCACCAGCAGGAACCAGCAGGACCTTTAATGGTTTCTGAGATGTTTTGATGGTTTTCCTGTCTGTGCTGCTGATTTACATCACAAACACTGAAGGCATCAGGGTAATTAAAGGCAGAGGGTTTTAATGTGATTTAGAATGTGTGAATTTATTCTGCTGTTCAGTTTTTTATCTGCTGCTTTAATTAACGAGAAAACATTAACCAAACACTGTTCCTCAGTTCTGCGGAAACACCGCCCCCTACCGACCACTGACCGCCCTGCTTTTGAGCGCAGTCAAAAAAAAAAGTTGTATAATAACAGTTACCCATAATGACCTGCGCTACACTCCACCTGTAATGCGGCAGGCCCCACCCATCGTCCTGCGCGTGAGTACGAACCACCAGCCAATCGCAGCGCGGGAGACCGGAAAGCGGGTGGGAAAAGAAGCGCCGCGTTAATGGAGTAAACACACAGCGAGCGGGTCCATCATGAGCTCCATGAGGACCATCATGGCCTGCGTGGCGGCTCTCGCGGCTTTAGGAACCGGGATCGGGATGTGGAACACTGTGGCACCTGGAGAGGAGAGAAAAAGAGAAATACTGAAGGTAATGAAGGTGGAATGAGCTCGCGGTGTCTCCAGGACCCTCACACTGAGAAAACAATCACCAGTACTATCAGTAATCACCTTCAGTAACAGCTGAAGGTGATTTTAGTTCAGCAGAGCTGCAGACAGAGTGAGTTTAGAACCACCCAGTAATGTTCCTGCACTGCTGCTGGATTTCCTGACTAGCTGAAGGGAAACTCCACCTATTTTCCAAAATTCCCCCATAATTCAGTGTGTGAGGTGTAACCAGAGAGATTCAGAGCGGTTTGGTGTGAAATGGTTCTGATGTCTTTACAGTGATGGTGATGGGAACCAGGGGTCGCCATGACTACAACACAGATATAGACATTTTATTTACTATCCAGAACCACCAGTGAACCTACACGAGTCTTCTGAGTTTATATGGAATGTTGATGATGGAAAATAGTGGAAAATCTGAAATAATAAGTTTTCTTTGGGGACTATTTTGCCTCACAGCGCCCTGCATGTATCCCTCCACCATGAATGGAGTTTAAGTTCTCTAAACTATCATAAAACAGTGTCTCAGTCATCAGGCAGTGAATTCATAACCATTTCATGTAGGAACTTTCTGTGAGGGAGCTTTTAGAGGTGGACGTCTGGTTCCTATCACCACCACCGTGAACAGTTCTGACTCGGTCAGTTTATCTAGAACGGAGCGTTTCACACCAAACCACTCTGAACCGCTCTGTTTACACCTAAACCGTTTAATTATGTAGAAATTAAGAGGAATTGGCTTTCAAGCCCATCACTGAGCCCTAATCTGGGATGTAGAACTAACCCTAGATCTCCAGGAGGAAGGTTGAACAATACAGGATTGAGCAAATATGTGGACCATCTGGAGGTCAGTTTGAGAACCACTGCTGTAGTCTACCTGCACAGGTGAGTGTTTTCCAGCTCTAACAGCTCCAGAGGCGCTTTCATTAATGATGATGGGACTCGGGATCCTGTGTACGTTCCACACCACATGTCTCAGCTGGATGGGCCCAAAGACACCACTGTCCAGTAGGAATGACCTTGACCTCTTCTCTTAATGTGCAGACTTGAAATTGGGCTCAGGTTATCCGGCTGAACTGAACCTGCTAGCTGGAGAACGTCTCCTGGTCACTGAAGCTGGATGGTTCCATTGGTCATCATATTTGTTCAGGTTACGATAATGTTTCAATATTTTTCCCCAACAGAACCTGCCCGAGTCCAGTCCAGCGCGGATGGAGGAGAGCAGGAAAAGGAACGCTCTGATGATGCAGGTCCTGAAAGAGGCCGCGGAGACCGACGACAACATCGCCCGAGGATTCGGGAGCCGGAAATGAAGAGGACGAGTTTCCGGTGAATACAGGAGTTCCACCGTAATCCTCAGTGAACTGGAGGAACATGTAAAAACACGGGGCCTTGCTGGTCATCTCCACATCTCCTGACCTTCAGCCATCGCACATCTCCGGCCCTGCAGTGTGGAAAGAGACAGTAATGAAAGACTGGTTATTTAATTATCTCAGCGTCTAAAATGTCTGTAGATAGAGTCATTCGTCTGTGCTGCGCTCTGTTCTGACTGCCTGTGATTGCTGTGACTGAACCAGGCCTGTTTGGTGAGACTGAATTAAAGCTTTAATTTCTCTGTAAAACTCAGTAAATTAATTATAAACTCAGTTTATAAACTCATTGTGAGGTTATTTGAATTTGAGCTACACCAGTGTGATAAACTACACATACATATCTATAAACTGGCCCCATCAAACTATTTAACTTAATTTTATTTAATTCTTTATTTTTAATAATTTGACAAAGTTTTAATGCGAAGTTACGGTCTGCGCAAACTGTGCGCGCTGCTGACGCGCAGGAAGGTGTTAAGTGTTTCCTGTGTGCAGAGGTCACATACTGAAAACGGCAAAAGCTCGAGGAGTTTCAGCTCAAAAACAACAAAAAACAGATTTTATTAAAAAAAGAGCTGAATAAACAACTAAAATCCGATTTTATTAAAAGAGAGCTGAATAAATAACTGAAATCGTTTCAGTAAGAGAGCTGGTTGAGTGGCTGTGAGCGGTCAGAGCCCCGGATGCTGCCGTCGCTCCGCGCGGTGAGGAATCAAATTAAACACTTTTAAAATCGGATTATTAAACGGATTTTCACGCTGAACCGAGCGAATCGGGTCGAATCGCCGCTGAAATTAAGAAAAGAAGCTCAAAGCGAAGTTAGCTGGTTTATTAGCCTGTTCCGTTCCACCTTAAACGCTGCAGCAGTTACACCGAGTCACCATTTAAGGTGGAACGGATTATTTAACTGAAGCTGCATTTTAAGGTACGAATATAAAATAAACATGACCCCCCCTCTCTCCCAGCACTTTGAGCTCCACCGGCATTAAAAGTGCTTTATAAATAAAACTATTATTATTATTAATCACCCAGATAGTTTGTTAGAAGTTGAAAATCAGTAAAATCAGATGTTTAATTTACTGAGTTTTAAGTCGTTCTGCTGTGTTTACAGTGTGGCCACTTTATCGGAAACGCTGAGAGGCCTCCACAGGAGCCAAAGCGACAGCAGTGAGGATTCATCAGCAGCTCCTCAATGTCAGCACCTCCTTCTGCTGCTCCTCCATCCTCCTCCTCACCCGCTCTGTTTGGGAGCTGCTGGAGCTGCCGGCTCCTCTCCGGTTCCGCTCTGATCCTCTCCGCAGGCTACGTGTACCAGGCGGCCCGGAGGACGATGCGGCACGGAGGACCCACGTCGATGGGCACGGTGGCTCAGATCGTCTTCGCCTCAGGTCAGAACCGTCCTCTGGTCTTCCAGCGGTGAGCGAGAGCTTCTGCAGTGACTGATATCAGGTGTTGTTTCCCTCTGCAGGTCTGGCTGCCTGGGGTATGGTGGTCATTATGGATCCGGTGGGAAAAGCCACCAAGAAAACCAAGGACACATGATCAGAGCAGCGGACGCGTAGATGTGTGATCTTATAGACGATGTAAAAAATAATAAAGTCATGAAGCGATGAATTTCATTTTTATTTTGCTGCTAAAGAACCAATCTGTCCATCTGGCAGTGCCACGAAATCAGATACAAACATGAAACCACAAAATTACACAAATGGAGAGAGGATTTAGATTCAGCTGCTGTGATCAGAAGTCATCAGTAAAGCATCACCAACACAGTTTAGTGAGGGGATTAAGCGGTTTTAAGAGTTGGCGTTTGGTCCCTTCTTCTTGCCGAACGTTGGAACGACGTTGACGAAGCGGCGGTTGTACTGAATCCTCCTCTTGGCTCTGCCTGTCTTTTTCTTCCTTTTCTCCTGCTTGTCCACCTGAAAAAAAACAGGAATAAGAGTCGTTCATGTAAAATCTTAGATGTTTTCTGTTTAACTGCTGAGTTTAATACGGTGGAAAAAAGATAACGAATATAAAATGTGCCATAACTTTTGCACAGGCCACCCTTTATTTTTTTTCCTCTGTGTTAAATTCAGCAGATAAAGTCATTGTGTACAAAAATGAAGTGTGTTCACTTATTTTCACTTAGACAATCAACACCCGTTTAAAATGATTGTTCTCTGTGATGTAAATGATGTAAATGATGGGGTACCTTGGGTGTCTGTCCTCTGACTTTACCGGCTCTGGCCAGAGAACCGTGGACTTTACCTGCGGAAGGGAAGATGTTCATGTATGAATGTTTCGTTACAGATATTTATCATTCAGTTTTGGATTGCTTTGCTTTTCTAAGCTCAACAAACCTCAGTCCATTTGAAGGACAAGTAGATCTGGGCAAAAATGTAACATCATGACACTTTAAGAAGTTCTCACGACCCATGACGTTTATTTTTTCTGACATTTAATAAGTTGGAACAGATAAAGTAGCTCCACATTTAAAAATACTATCAAAAACTGTGAATCCAATACTCTGTATTCAACATTTCACACACCATGCTGGACTAAATCCAGTTAAACAGAACTAATGAGGCTGGTTTTTAATCAAACAAGCAGTTTGGAAGTGTTTTTAAGTACTATATCCACGATACACTCAGAAAAGCGTACTGTAATGTATCTTTTGATAACTATAAATAGTTAGACTGATCAGCTCCAGCTCTAAATGTAGTATTTTTAAAGTGTAATGTTCCTTTCGAAGTTAAAGTGCAGGACAGTCATTCAGAATTTAATCAGAGCAATATTTTTAAAGCCAACCAATTTGCTCAATTTGTTATAGTTGATTGTATGTTGTTGCTGGCGGTTGTTGCTAGGTAACGGGCTAATAAGGCGGCGACCATGTAGGTCAAGGATAAAATCTGCAGCCTTACTGTGAACAGACTTTGGACCCAACAGCCACTGATGTTTTATCAGGATGAAGTTCCAAGTCATCCAGGCTTTTATGGCTTTTATGGCTTTACAGCTGTGTCTGAATCTCGCTGCACTGACGTACAACCGAGTTTCATCAGCATGTAAGTTAAAGGCAACACTGTTTAGGGGCTGTAAATAAGGGAGAACTGTAGGGGCCCTAAAACAGAGCCCTGGGGGACACCATACTACACTACGCTCAGAAACTCTCCACTTACACTAAAATGGAGGCCGTCTGTCAAGTAAGATGTAAACCAAGCAAGAACTTGTCTGTCTAATCAACTATTTCCAATCTATGAATCTACTGATGTGGGGGTTGAGGATGTATATTTCAAACAGGCGGTTTAGACAGTGACTGCAGAATATCCCGCAGTCTATGTGTGTTCTGGTGTGGAAAAACTTTAATGGTACTTTACGGAACCACGTCTCAAGTCCACGGCTTCAAAGTGAACTTTTGATTCCCAAATGCCTGGAATCTGAAGATCCACTCCCAGCTGCACTTCAGGCTGCGGACATGAATGATGACCAAGTGGAGCTTCTTTGTTTTCTGTCTTTTAGACGCAGCTATTATGTTTTCATCTTTAATCTACTGTGTAAGCCTTACATACAGTAGAGCAGCACGACAGTCGAACACACACAGATTTAGCTGGACATTCGTAAAAAAAAGGTTCTATAGTAAAGAAAATAGTGAATTAGAGAATTAAATGATTCTCTGAATGATGAAGTGGTTCTTCAGACCGATGAAGAAATGTCCTATAGATGGTTCTATATAGCACCCAAAAGGGTTCTTTTATTGTTACAATGTTAAGCTTGCACCAATAGAAGAACCCTTTTGTTTTTTTCCCCCAAAAGGTTCTAGATAGAACAGGCTATAATACATTCATGCACATTTGCCATCAATCTGAAGAACCATTTCACCATGCAGAGAACCATTTAATCATGCGGTGTTCTTTGAGTGTTCATGGTTCTTTACAGAACTATTTTCTCTACTAAAGAACTCTTGAAGAACGAAGTAGCACCACCTGTAAAAAATACTATCAAAAACTATGAATCCAGCGTTCTGTATTCAACATTTCACACACTGTGCTGCACCAAATCCAGTGAAACGGAACTAAAGATGATCTTCTTAATTAAACGAGCAGCTGAAGTGTTTTTAAGTACTGGCGATTTCCAGGATATACAAAAGCATGCTGTGATGTAATTTAACACGATAACAATAAATACTGTCATATTGCGCAGCTCTATTAATAAGAGTATTGTTTTTGAAGTGTAATGTTCCTTTTGAAGTCTGAAGACATTAATAAGAGCAGGCTGTGATTAATCCCACACAGGTGTTTACCAGTGTTCTCTCTGAGTCTGAAGTGTTGAGCATCACTCAAAGTTAAGTCCGTTTACCTCCCAGCAGTCGTGATGAGACCTCGATAGTGCTGAACTCTTCGATCCCGGACTGACCGATCAGAGCCTCGTCCTGCAGCGGGGTCCCGCGGAGGGTCAGGATCTGATCATCACAGGACAGACCCTCCAGCGCCTCGATCTGGGCCTACAGACCGGAGAGAAAACACGTCACACAAATTGAGGGTTTGGACAAAATAACAAATACCACATCATACCTGGCCAGTTTATCAGAAACACCTATCTTCCACTATACAGGTGTACAGACTGCCGGTCAGGGGTCACCAGTCTCATCCACACAGGCTGACCAAACAGAAGCTGCTCATCTAACTAATCAACAGTCTGAAAACTGTGAGTCTCTGATTGACTGGAATGAAGAGCTGCAGCAGAGCTCCCAACATAGAGCGTCTTTAGTTTAGTGAAAGGCAGTGTGTGTATTAAACATGATATTATTATTATTTATTATTTACTATTTAGCTACTCCAGCCTTTAGTGGATAAAACTGGTGACCCCTGCATTAGTCCTTAATTAGTGGTCAGATTTGGACCACAGAGCCGCTCTTGTCTGGATCATTTTGGGCGGACGGTCCTCCTAACCCAGCACTGACACTGATGTGTATATAAACTGCCCATCTCCCAATAATATCTGGACAAACGCAGCCCTGTGGTCAGAAACTGACCGATGATAAATGCTGTAGAGGGGAGGATAAACTGTGTGTAGGTGTTTCTAATAAAACGGCCACTGAGTCTGGTGTTTGTTATTTTGTATCATTAACTTTTAATGAAATCTCACTGCAGAACGTTGATGTTTAAGGTTCACCTTGATGTGAGCGACGGTCTCTGATCCGTCCACCTCAACGGTGTGTAAGCTCTGAGCTCTCACGAACAGCTGCATCTTCAGCCTGTTTACACTGAAACACAAGAACATCTGTCATCAGAACCGACAGCTGGACTCACGAAAGATTTTCTTAGAAAATACTTTAAAAAGCATCTTAAGACAAAAACTAAGATTGGGCCTCGTTCTCCAACATCTTCCTGTTCTTAAGTGTGTTCTTGAGAAAGGTTCTAAGAAAAAGTCTCCGTCAGATTCATGACGTGTTCTTAAAGCGCAGAACTGCTCTCACCTTTGTGCTCTTGAGTGTGTGTAGATTCTGTTCTTACCTAAGAACAAACCCCACATTAGAGAACATCAGTGAATCAGAGTCTTTCTTCTTAAGCAGAGTTTGGAGAACGAGGTCCAGTGTTCTTTAATGTAATTCTCATTAAAAAAATTATGTTCCAATATTTTCTAAACAAAATCTGACTTGTTTTTGTTTGTAGGCTATAGATTATTTGTTCTGTAGACCATGAATATCATACATACCATATTTTCATCAACCAGTTATTGATTTTAATCATATCAGTTATGCAGGATCCTCACTGGTCAATTTTAACAATTATATTTTGTGAAACCTATCAGAAGTTGCAGTTTAAGAGGTTTACCTGGTCAGTTCTCACAGAATAAGGCTGCATAACTGAGACGGTTGTAAGATTAAGAAAATATTTAATAACATCAATAACATTTTTGAGAATGCCACTCGCTCTTATAACAGTTCTTAAGAAATACGGTACAAAAGAAATCAAAACAATTAATCATTTTAAGAATAATAAAGTATGTATTTAAGATATAAAGGCACTTTAAAAAATTTCCTTTTAGCGTTTTGTGACTGTGGCCCCTAAAACTGCCAGGTAACTTCATTTGTGTTTTTTTTCCTTTTCCACTTTAAACTCAGTTTTAAAAGGCAATATAATCATCGACATCAGGCAGGTCTTTTATTTTGAAATAAAAAACAACTTTTGTTGTTCGTCTATTAAAGCAATCTGGTTATTTATGTGTATAAAATTCCTCTAACTGCACAAACATTCCGCGTTCCGAGTCTTAATAATCTGCTTATTTGCTAAAAGACTCGCGGTGTTCTCGAACTCATTTATCCTCGTTTTAATCCTCAGATCAGCCTGTTCGCTTATTCCCGCTGTTCTAACGCAGAGTGATATTAGTCTCTGTATGTTTCGGTCATTACATCTCATTTATGACTAAAATCAGGACTAAAATCTTAATAAACAAAACGACGAACTCACCACAAATCCACACGCCAACTACGAACGTGGGCAAAGGGATGTGTTCTACAGCGCATGCGCGAATGTTTTTCTCACAATTTTATTGTCAAATTTGTTAGAAATAATAAAATATTGCTTCCTTTTACTAAAATATGAAAAATAAAAAATAATAATTAAAAGTATGTGTCGTTTCTGTTAAGCGAATTTGATCGCAAAACGATTTTTCCCACCTGTGTTCCGTCAGGCCCCGCCCTCCCGCCTTCGGGTCAACGTTCGTCTGAAAACAGGTGGGAAATGAAAGCTCCGTCTGCTCCGGTGGTAAAATGGCGGCGCCCTTTAGGAGCGCGTTTGTGACTTTGGGTCCTGCTGGTTTAATCAGGAGCAGAGTCGCTTCTCCGGCTGGACTCGCGGCGAATGTTGCAGCTTGTTTACGTGTGAGTTCAGTGTATATTTCATTTCTGTATTTTTAGAGCCTAGTAAAGCTCATTCGCGAATTGTCCGTTCCACCTTAACTGGTGCAGCAGTTACATTGTGGCGCCTGAAGCGCCTGTAACTGCTGCAGCATTTAAGGTGGAACGGACAATTCAACTTAGTGGTTTTTAGTGTGTTTTGCGTTTCCTAATGTGTGAATGCTGCTGTAATAAATCAGATACGTCATAAATTAAAGAATCAAATTCCTGTTTGTTTACTTTGCTGCAAACTGGTGGATGTTTTAGAACATTTTGAGGGTCTTCAGTGTTAGAACATACGGTTCTTTAGTAAAGACAATGGTTCTGTTTATGAGTTCTGTATAGAACCATTTGGCTCTTTACATGGTGAAAGTGGTTCTTCAGATTGATGGAGAATGTGTTCTATATGGTTCTATGTAGAACCTTTTTGAAAACGGTTCTTCTGTTGTTATAGTCTCAATCAGAACCAGCATGCAAATGGTTCTGTATAGAACTCGTGACTCTAAATAGAACCATAGAACCCTTGAAGATCATGTGTATACGTTTATAAATATCATAGATAAATATTATGGGATGTTAGAGTGCCGGTTGACTGATTTCTGTGGCGTCTGATTACGACGCAGCTTCTCATTTATTAATCAGTATTTTTATTTTCTCTGCTGTCAGTCAGAGCACAGCAGCGCTGGAGCACGGGGAGCGGTAGAGGAGTCTGTGGAGGAGTATGAATACGTAGAGAGACTCATTCCTCCATCACGGATCCCTTCGCCCCCAAAACATGATGGTTGTGCTCCGTCAGGGTGGACCCCACCATCAGGTAAACACAGAGGAGGAACCTTAGAGTCGCACTTTACACGTCATCCCCCTCATACTGAGTCTGACACTGAGGTTAAAAATGATGAACAGAACAAAAGATAGAAATGTGGGTTTATCAGTGAGTGTGTTTACATACACCAAATAATCTGATCAATATCTGATTTTCTGCAGTGATCAGATCATTAAGTGTAAACACACTCACACTCTTATGTGGTCGACAGTCTTGTTCATTTTTTAATTAATCATATTCATATCTGCGTATAATCTTCATACAGAGATGCCGCCTTCCCTGCCGTACATGATCCGACGTTCCAGAATGCACAACGTTCCCGTCTACTCCGATATCAAACACGGGAACCAGAAGAGCACGTTAGTGCGCAAAGTGGAGGGAGATATTTGGGTGAGTTTAGCTTTAAAATGCAGTTTTAACATCAAAATTATAATCACACAGTTATTATCATACAGTCTTAAAGATGGTTCTTCAAGGGTTCTTCAGTAAAGGCGATGGTTCTATTTAGAACCACGAGTTCTATATAGAGCCATTTGTATGATTAAATGGTTCTTTACATGGTGAAATGGTTCTTCAGAATGATGGAGAATGTGTTGCATATGGTTCTAGCACTAAAAAGGGTTCCGTTATCATTACAAGGTTAAGGTTTTTCATTTAAACATACAGATGGTTCTTTGAGCGTTAAACCTTTATAAGGGACCTGCTGGTTCGGTGTCTGACTGTCTGCAGATTGATTATTCTTCCTAAAGAAACTCTGTGTGTGTGTGTGTGTGTGTGTGTGTGTGTGTGTGTGTGTGTGTCTGTCTGTCTGTGTCTCCAGGCTCTGAATAAGGATGTGAAGGAGTTCCTGCAGCAGCTCACAGGCAGAGAGACGCCGACGCAGGTGAACGAGGTGACCGGCGCCGTCCGGATTAAGGGGCAGTTCGATAAGGAGCTGAAGGCGTGGCTGATCCAGAGAGGGTTCTGACTGTTCAGACCATCAGAGCCACCGGAGGATCAGACACACAGTGAAGCAGCGTCTAATCAGCGCTCTGTACGTTTTCCAGTTGTTTGTGTTTCTGTGTAAAACATGTAAATATACCTGTTTATTTGATGCACCTGAAAAACTGAAATAACAATAAATAAAAGCCTTTTATCATCACTGACTTCAGACCTGATTAACTCCACTGCTGGTAGATTCATATTGTGATCGAGATTTAAATGCAATCTTTTATTATAAACGAACCTCAAGCTTTTATTTTTGCCTCCTGGACGCTGAATCAGACTGAAACAGCTGAATAAATCATTTAGAATTAAAATTGCAGCTTTTCTGATTTGAAAAATTCACTCTTAAATTTGTGAATTTGATATAAAAGAAATTAATTCTTCAGCCCTATAACACACACACATATATGAATTATTATTAGTACAGTAGCTAATTAATCAGTCTGGAATACATTTTTATATTAAGAAACTCCAACAGAAATAATCTGTTTTTATGATATTATGATAGTTGAGTCAACATAAAAATCACAGTGCAGAAAAGAGGAAATCGGTGAACTGAAAGTGTATAAAAGTCTCCAAACGAAGCCGTTTGAACTTATAGGCGAAGCTGCGTAAATATAACGCCGCTCGGCGCGCAAGAAGGCTCCGCTTTTGTGTTTAATGTGCGTCATCAATCTGAGCCCCTCGCGCGGATGCCGAAACAGCGCGTGAGTAAATAAAAAGCATTGAGTTTATAAATCGCTAAATAAACAGAGAGGAGCGAATTCACCCGCTGTTTTTGAGTCAATGCGCTGCTTTAAAACCCGCGCGGACAGTTTACTGAGGAGCATCTCAGCTTTTCACCTTAAACCATTTAAGGTGGAACGGAATCCTCCAGTAATGACGGTGCTCGCTTTGGAAACGTTTCCCGGACAGATGGAGGAATATTATTACATCATTTAAGAAACTGACGCTCATCAGCTTTAATTGCGGAACTAGTTACATTTATTAAAGGGAAACGCCACCAATTTTCCAAAATTCCCCCATAATTCAGTGTGTGAGGTGTAATCAGAGAGATTCAGAGTGGTTTGGTGTGAAATGGTTCAGGTGTCTTTACAGTGGTGGTGATAGGAACCAGGGGTCGCCATGACTACAACACAAATATAGACATTTTATTTACTATCCAGAACCACCAGTGAACCTACACGAGTCTTCTGAGTTTATATGGAATGTTGATGATGGAAAATAGTGGAAAATCTGAAATAATAAGTTTTCTTTGGGGACTATTTTGCCTCACAGCGCCCTGCATGTATCCCTCCACCATGAATGGAGTTTAAGTTCTCACAACTATCATAAAACAGTGTCTCAGTCATCAGGCAGTGAATTCATAACCATTTCATGTAGGAACTTTCTGTGAGGGAGCTTTTAGAGGTGGACGTCTGGTTCCTATCACCACCACTGTGAACAGTTCTGACTCAGTCAGTTTATCTAGAACAGAGCGTTTCACACCAAACCACTCTGAACCACTCTGAACCACTACATCTCAACCAGCTGATTATGGGGGAATTCTGGAAAATAGATGGAGTTTCCCTTTGAGTCATATGTACTTAAACACAGTGCTGAGAAGTTTGTACAGAGCTGGGCGAAAATATAATATCATGATATTTAAAGACTTTTTTTGCAGTAGACGATGCATCATGGGAATTCCATTTTTCTGATCTTATTTTATTATTGAACAGACAAAAACTGACTTTATTAGACTGAATCAGCTCCATTGCTGGTGTGTGGATGCTTAATGTAACTGACAGTTTGGGTAGAATATTGTAATTTTTCTGACCAATGCTGCAGTTATTACTTAAATGCGATTATTTTTTATAAATGAAGCTCCAGGTGTTTTTATCCTCAAGAAGTCGAGCGTGTATATTTTCTTCAGGTGTGACCCTTGAACGGTGTGTCAGTGTGTCAGACTGAAACAGGGCTGAATAAATCAGGATATAATTAAATCTGCAGCTCGTATGATTTGAAAATTGCACTCTTTCGAATTGTGATTTCAATGTAAACAGGATCAATCGTTCAGCCTTTTAAAAAGTGTATAATGATTATTATCTGATCAGCTGGAAAACACAAAGAATAATAATCAGTGTTGCCACATTGTAAAAATACTGTGAAAAACTATAAATAAACTGTTTTATTTAGTGTTTTGCTGCCCTGAATCCAAATAAACAGAACTGAATTATTCTCTCTGTGATTAAACACAAACAGCAGTTCACGATATTCCACCTGACGGATCACTGTAACAGTAAACAGTGTCTTATTGCCCTACACACTTAAAAAGGTTCCTCAAGGGTTCTTTAGTAAAGACAGTGGGTCTATATAGAACTATGAACACTCAAAGAACTATTTCATGATTAAATGGTTCTCTGCATGGTGAAATGGGTCTTCAGACTGATGAAGAATGTGTTATATATGGTTCTACATGGAACCTTTTTGACAAGGGTGTAGCAACAAAAGGGGTTCTGCTAAATGACATACAAGTTTGACATCATAACAACAGAAGAACCCTCTCTGGTTCTATATAGAACCATATACAACACATTCTCCATCAATCTGAAGAACCAAGTCACCATGCAAAGAACCATTTAAGCATACAGATCATTCTTGGTTCTATGTAGAAGTCTTTACAGAAAACCCTTGAAGAACCATCTGAACTGTCTTAAGTAGCGTAATGTAAACTAATTTGTTCTCAGTTCTATTTTAGTCATTAACATTTAATTCTCTGTTTTTGGGGTTTAGTTTGATTCTGCTGTGTCGGTTCTGCTCATGTTCTGCTGGTCACTCCTCTCAGTTTGGAGCGTCAGTGTTTTATTTTAGATAAAAAAGATCCAGAAATGGAAGAACTGAGCCGAGTTTCTATACGGCTTCTAATTCCAGTTATTCAGGGGCCGAATGAAACCACTGAACCATTTAAGGTGGAACAGAGAATTAGAATAGGAAGACAGTTTAGTCTGGACACTCGTAGACGCTGGATGTTCTAAGGTTCTAAGAATAAGATTTTCAGTTCTTCATTCATTTTTTTGAGCTAAAGTTGTTTTTCATCTGCAGATGATCAGCATAAAATGGACCACCTGATCAGACGGAGGATTCCTGCATGTGTGCGGACGATACTGACCGACATCACACCGAAAGAGGATGAGCTGAGGGACTGGACAGAACCGGAGCCGGAACCAGAACCTGTAACCAGGGACGGAATTTCCCTTCCTGTTGGAGCTGCTCCTGAAGCTCTCCTGACTCCGGCTGGAACGGGCAGTGCAGACGGAGCCAGACCTTCAGCCCGACTGTGTGGACTTTGTTTATCCAGACCGTCCTGCTATACCTGTCCCAGGTGTAACATTCCGTACTGTGGGCTGCCGTGCTACCGGAGCCCGGCTCACTCCGCGTGCTCCGAGGAGTTCTATAAGGAGTGCGTGTCGGAGGAGCTGAAGTGTCGGAGCGAGACAGAAGAGGAGGGAAGGTCTAGAATGCAGGAGATCCTCCTGAGGCTGAGGAGCAGCGCTAACGCTGACGGAGGGATGGAGAACCTGCTGAAAGATCTGGTGGAGGAAACCCGAGGAGGTGTGACGGAGCAGGACGCTGAGGCGCTACAGCTTCTGTCCAGACTGGCAGAACTTCAGGCGAGCGGTAAGGAGGAGCACAGCGAGGAGATCCTGGAGATCCTGCGGAAACTCAGAGAGATTGAGGAAGGAGACGAGGACAGCGATGATGAGGATCTGGCTCTGAAGCTTTCAGGGCTAAATATAGACGCTCTAACAGAAGAACAGCTGTGGAACCTTCTGCCGTCCCGAGATAAGGATAAGTTTAAGGAGCTGGTGAGGGGAGATGGTGCTGCACGTTTGGTGGAACCGTGGAGGCCATGGTGGGAAGAACATGAACAAAACACTAAGGTGCTTATAGAAGAGCTGCAATCAGGGGAGGAAAGAAGGAGCTCCAGTGGAAATGGAACGATGGACGCTGAAGACAGGATAAGGAACGAGAAGGAAAGTGAAGACAATCAGACCGAAGAAGTTTCCGAAATTCAGTCTAAAGACGTAAACACGACAAAACAACAGCTTTCAGCGGCTACGCCTCCCCCACGGTCCAGCCAGAGCCTTAAAAAGCAGAAGAAAACGCCAAAATCGAGAAACGCTAACAGCGTGAAAGGCTCAAACTCTGCTGCTCCACCCATCAGTGCTAAAGTCCCGCCCCTCCACACCATCTCCTCAAGCCCCTCCCCTTTAGTCCAGTTCAGCGTGGTGAACGCGCTGTACGGCTACGCGTTCTCTCTGTGTCGGTTTAACGGGGATATCTCAGAGTCGGCGCTGCTGCTGGAGTTCTGCCGGACCGTTCTGGAGACGTCGGAGAGTCTGGGCTCGGCCCGAGCGTTCTCCTCGCTCTCTGAGGCTCTAGAGGGCGCCGTTTCGGCCGGCCGCCTTGACAGAGACGATCCAGAAGCTCCGGTCCGAACTTTAGGGGCCGTGGCTCATATCCTGACCGGGCGGAGTAAGGAGGACCCGGTCGGCTACGCCCTGTCCGCTCTGTCGCAGCTACGGTCGGCCTTCAGCGAGGCCAGAGCATCCGTCACCAGAGAGGAAGAGGAGTGGAGGCGGAAGCTGTTTCTGGCGGGGAAGAAGTGCGAGTTCCTCCAGTCGTGGGTGAAGGAGAACGCGGATGCCGTGAGGAGCTCCGCCCGCTGGACGTGGAGGGAGTTCAGCAGGAGGAGAGAGGAGAGGGAGACGATGGAGAGAGAGAGGAGGGGACTGGAGGAGGGATGGAGGAAGGGACAAGGAAGAGGGAGAGCCCTGATAGAGGAGATCGACTGAAATGAGTTCTAATGAAATAAAGCTGAACTTATCATTTTCATCCTGATGCCAGAGCGTGTTTTATTAAATGATATCAGAATCATATCGGCATCAGCAGATATCTGCTTAAAATGATCAGTATCGGTCGGGTGTTTAGATGTGACTGATATTTCAGACAGATATTTGATGATGTGTTGATTAATAATAATAAATAAATAATAATAAAAATAATTATATCTAATATTTATAGAGCTCTTTTCATGCCAGTGGCAGCTGAAAGTGCTTTACATACAGGTGATTAAGTCTATTAGAAGAAATTATAAGTATTAATTTAAGATCATATAAGAAAATAACAGATCAGATTAAAGAGATGAAGACCAAAGAGCCGTAGAGTTTAATGAAGCTCTGAGTTAAAGAGTCGTAGAGTTTTACTGAAGCTCTGAGTTAAAGAGTCGTAGAGTTTTACTGAAGCTCTGAGTTAAAGAGTCGTAGAGTTTAATGAAGCTCTGAGTTAAAGAGTCGTAGAGTTTAATGAAGCTCTGAGTTAAAGAGTCGTAGAGTTTTACTGAAGCTCCGAGTTAAAGAGTCGTAGAGTTTAATGAAGCTCCGAGTTAAAGAGTCGTAGAGTTTTACTGAAGCTCTGAGTTAAAGAGTCGTAGAGTTTTACTGAAGCTCTGAGTTAAAGAGTCGTAGAGTTTAATGAAGCTCCGAGTTAAAGAGTCGTAGAGTTTTACTGAAGCTCTGAGTTAAAGAGTCGTAGAGTTTTACTGAAGCTCTGAGTTAAAGAGTCGTAGAGTTTAATGAAGCTCCGAGTTAAAGAGTCGTAGAGTTTACTGAAGCTCTGAGTTAAAGAGTCGTAGAGTTTAATGAAGCTCTGAGTTAAAGAGTCGTAGAGTTTTACTGAAGCTCTGAGTTAAAGAGCCGTAGAGTTTTACTGAAGCTCTGAGTTAAAGAGCCGTAGAGTTTTACTGAAGCTCTGAGTTAAAGAGCTGCGTTTTCAGGTGTTTATTAAAAGTGAGCTCTGAGCTCGACTGTCTAATAAAAGCTGAACTGAGCTCCACAGTTTAGAAGCAGAATAACTGAAAGAGTCTCTCCACGTTTTCTGTGTTTTACTGAAGGAGTTCAGAAGGTCAGAATCTGCAGATCTGAGATCATAAACAGACAGACGTTCAGGAGCTTTAAGGTCATTTAGAGCTTTAAAAACCAGCAGCAGAGCTTTAAACTCTCTCTAACAGATCCAGGCGGTCAGTGCAGTGTGTAACGGGGGATATGAGCTCTCTGTGTTGGTGCTGTGAGGATCCGTGCTGCTGCGTTCTGTACGGGTTCTAGAGGATCTGCTTTTTTCTCCAGTAAGAAGATCATTACAGTGATCAACTCTGCTGAACAAACACAGCAGCAGGTTTCTCTGCGTCGCTCTTAGAGAGAAAAGGCTGAACTTTAGTGATCAGATGATAAAAGCTGCTTTAGGTACTGAGTTTACATGCAGATTAATTGAGCTCCAGAGGAGCAGAATGTTTGGGTGACTCTGAGTCGCTGGACTGAAATAGGATAATCCAGTGGCTTCAGTCCCAGTTTGTACATTTTATAAATCATCGCTGTCCAAAGAAAAACATGCATCTCCATTTTTCCGTTTTTTACTTTTCGTTCACACGGCGAAAATCTGATGATTGGGCCAACAGAAATGCTCTAAAATGCCTCATAATAAAATCTGTACATTAACATAGAAGTGAAGAACTTTTTTTCTCCTGTAAATTTGGAGATAATTTTCTTTGGACAGCGAAAAAATGTTTATGTATCATCGTTGGAAGATACATACATGAAAGATATCAGATATCCAGTATTGGCATTGGCCCTCGGTCATATCACCCCTACATTAATCAGAATAAATAAACAATTTTACAAAATATTTGCATGATTTGCGTAATTTACTGAGCGAGTTCTCCTAAAATCTGAGGTACTGTTTGGTTTCAGGTCCAGCTGAGACTGTAATCACCAGCATACAGTGAATTTACCATAGAGCAGGTTCTCAGTGCTGGTCCGGTTCTCACTCAGAGAACAGGAGAGTCAGAAAAGCTGCAGAGCTGAATGTTAGAAAAAAACAGCGGCCGGATCCACAAAAGTGTTTTAAGAAGGAAAATTTTCTTTAAAATGTTTTTTTTAACTTCATTCTTGAGAAAAAAGTTATGAGAAATTGTTATTCAAAAAACCTCTTAAGAATTCTCTTATTTTCTTTCCTCACTGGAGCCTCAGCCTCAATTATCATATATTCATATGTCTGTTTCTTCCTCCATCAGCTCTGAATCTTGTTTGGTAATATTTTAAACTCTTGTTTTGATGATTTTCCTCCATTTTGCTCCTCTGAGTGATTAAATAACAGAAATACCAGTTAATATACATTCAAACTGTCTCACATCATTTATGGCACACAGTAAAATGCAGCACAGCCCACATCAGAAAACAGTGAACACACTGGGCCTCGTTCTCCAACCGTTCTTGAGGAGAAATTCCTCCTCAAACCCACTGACGCAGTTTTCACTAAGACTCTGACTCACCAGTGTTTCTTATGTGGGGTTTGTTCTTAGGTAAGAACAGAATCTACACACACTCAAGAGCACAAAGGTGAGAACAGTTTTGCACTTTAAGAACACGTCAAGAATCTGACAGAGACTTTTACTTAGGATCTTTATCAAGAACACACTTAAGAACAGACTTAGGAAGATGGACTGGAGAACGAGGCTCAAATAAGAGAACACTGGTGAATCTCAGAGTCTTCGTCTAAACTGCGTAAGTTGGTTATGAGAAGAAATTTCTTCGTAAGAACGGTTGGAGAACGAGGTCCAACCATATGAACTTCTTAGTGTTTGTCTTTAGAACCTTCACAATTTTCTTCTTAAAACACTTTAATGAATCCGGCCCCCCGGACTAGATCCCACTGGAATGGGCCGCGTGCTAAACCGGTGTTTCCCAGCTCTGGTCCTGGAGTTCCTCTGTCCTGCATATTTCAGTGCAGTGGTCAGCAGCCTTCCTCCTGGACACCTGTAGAGTTTGACTCCAACCTGTGTCTAACATGCTGGTGCTCCTTAAGGAGAAACTGATCCAGCAAATCAGCCACTTCTGAAGAAGCAGGTGTGATGGACTGTGGTGGCCAGTAGATGTTGGTGACCGCTGATTAAATGTTCACAGCTGACCACACTGATTAGCTCAGTAAGGAACTCCTGAGCAGGAGAACTCTGAGATGAGCAGCAGCTGCAGGAGGCGACAGTTGAAAGCACAGAAGATGAGGTTTCTGTGGATTTAGATGCTACAGAACTCGACACTCAGTGTACAGTAGAAACTACACAGCACAGTAAATCATATCTGATCTGATTTATAGGAAACTTCTTTATGGAACATCTAAGTTCTTGCATTGTTCTTTAAAGCTGGTTTGGTGTCCACAGTGAGGAACCCTTCAAAACGGACATCTAAACCAGGCAGGGCTTAGTCTACATTCACATCAGTAATGTGGACTGGACTGTCCAGATTGTGGTCAGTAGCTGTAGGTGATGGTCCAGTTATGGTTAGTAGATGTAGGTGATGATCCTGTTGTGGTCAGTAGCTGTAAGTGATGGTCTAAGTGTGGTCAGTAGATGTAGGGAATGGTCCAGGTGTGGTCAGTAGATGTAGGGAATGGTCCAGGTGTGGTCAGTAGCTGTTGGTGATGGTCCAGTTGTGGTCTGTAGCTGTAGGAGATGGTCCAGTTGTGGTCAGTACATGTAGGGAATGGTCCAGTTGTGGTCAGTAGATGTAGGAAATGGTCCAGTTATGGTAAGTAGATGTAGGGAATGGTCCAGGTGTGGTCAGTAGATGTAGGGTATGGTCCAGGTGTGGTCAGTAGATGTAGGGGATGATCCTGTAGGGAACCCGTCTGCAGTAGGTGTCCCAGGCCAGGCCGTATTTGGCTCTGCACTGCCGCTCGTCTCGCGCCTCCCGATGGACCAGCAGGACGGAGAAATAAATGACGTAGAAATACGGCAGAATGTGAGAAACACCTGCAGGAGAGAAATGCAGACATGATGCTGATGCTAATGCTAATACTAACAGGCCAGACTCTGGAGATTTAGCTGAAGCACAGCAGAAACAGGAGACCAGCTGGAATTAGATCTTTGGCTAAACTGTCTTTACGAGTGTCCTCACCGCAGGGCAGAGACCAGGCCAGCGCCATCAGGATGTCCCCTAGGTAATTCGGGTGTCTGACGAAGCCCCACCAGCCGGACACTAACAGGCGCTTTCCTGTTGCCGTGGCGATAGTCTCCAAATCTGTAAACAAAGAAGCTGTCAGAAGTTAGAAGGATGTCCCTGATTGGTCAGAAGCCTGCCTCTGATTGGTCAGAAGGCTGTCTCTGATTGGTTACACATACAGTGTAAGCTGTCATGCTAATGTATCCCAACTAGAAGTAAATATCAGTGTTCTTGATGTTTATCACAGAGTAATGAGTTCAAACTGAGAGAGTGTTTTTAACTCACGCGCGACGCTTTTGTGAGTCGGGTCTCTCCTGAACTGGTTCTTCTGAGAATTAGACTTACGGAAGATATAATATCCGACTCCTGAAACCCAGAAAACACGACAGATTCAGCAGGTTTATCATGACACATCATCTGATAATGATCATACTGCAGACGGCTGCTGTACGTAAACAGCCCCGGGTTAAATGTGCTACTCTCTCCAGGCACAATCACAGTACCTCCATTCAGAGGCAGCTATCAGAGCCGTTTCATACTCTGTGCAAAAAAAATCACTACAATCTAAAGTCTGAATGTGAAGGCTGTGATCACCGTTCAGCAGTATGATTCCGAGCGCGCTGAGCGGACTGAGAGTCTGCGGATGGATGACCAGGAACATGGCCTGCAGTCCATACGTGAAGGGCACCCACGCTAAATCTCCAAACGCCAACATGAACCCGAACCCATCGTGCACAATGTCCATGGTGGTCAACACGGCCTCCTGAGCAGCCAAAAATAAAACAGATTTATGCTGTGGGGGGTGGGGGTTGTCCACAGTTTGGGAGCGCGTACACTAACTGCAGCTTCACCTCACCTTTAGTGTTTCGTGAAAAAAACAGAGATCAGCCTCTTTCATTTCTTCCCAATCAGATAAACATTAACGCTAAAAGGACCCTCCTCTGTAAAATCCTCACTAACTCCCTGTGTAGCTGTTCACTCTGAATTCTACTGTACTGTACGGTTCTCTGTCCCTCACCTCGTTCCACAGAGCGTCCGTCACGTACAGCAGCTGGAAGCTGTTGATCATCAGCATGGCCAGAGACGGAGATCCTCTGAGCTCCACCTCCTTCATCAGCATCGCCGCATTCAGCACCACCTGAACACAATAATAATAATCAAATAATAATAATAATAATAATAATAATAATAACAACAATAATAATAATAATAATAACAACAATAATAATAATAATAATAATACCACAGTAATAACAATAACACAGTAAAATACACGCTTAACATTTAAATCTCACTGATTACGCCACTAAAACAGATTTTATCTGTAGAGTTAAAGCGTCTACTAAACGCTGCAAATGTACACTGTAATGCACTGTTAGCTGCTCTGTGGTTACTGGACTTCTAATTATAACCATTAAATATCTGTATTTTAGCTTATCTTATATATCTATGCATTATGTATCTGCATGTTATTTATCTGAACATCACATATCTGTTTGTTACATATCTGTATGTTCTATGTACACTATATGGCAAAAAATATGTGGACGCCTGACCATCACACTTATATGAACTTGTTGGACGTCCCATTTTAAAACCACAGGCATTAATATGGAGTTGGTCCCCCTTTACAGCTGTAGCAGCTTCCACTCTTCTGGGGGGCTTTCTACAAGATGTTGGAGAGAGTCTGTGGGAATTTGTGTCCATTCAGTCAAAAGAGCATTTGTGAGGTCAGACACTGATGTTGGACGAGAGGGTCTGGCTCACAATCTCTGTTCTAGTTCATCCCAAAGGTGTTCAGTGGGGTTGAGGTCAGGGCTCTGTGCAGGCCACTGGAGTTCCTCCACACCAAACTGGTCACTCCATGTCTTTATGGAGCTGCTTTGTGCACAGGGGCTCAGTCATGCTGGAACAGGAAACGCTCTTCCCCAAACTGCTGACACAAAGCTGGAAGCAGATAAGTGTGTAAAATGTCTTTGTGCTGCAGCATCAACATCACCCTTCACTGGAACTGAGGAGCCCAAACCCTGAAAAACAGCCCCGCCCATCATCCCTCCTCCACCAAACTCTACTGTTGGCACTGTACATTCTGGTAGGTAGCGTTTTCCTGACATCTGATTCATCATCAGACTGACAGATAGTGAAGCTGATTCATCAACCCAGAGAACACGTTTCCACTGATCCAGAGTCCAGTGGCGGCGCTTTACACCCCTCCAGCCGACACTTGGCATTGAACATAGTGATCTTAGGCTTGTGTGTAGCTGCTCAGCCATGGAGACCCATTTCATGAAGGTCCTGACACTCAGTTCTTGTGTTGATGGTGCTTCCAAAGGCAGTTTGGAGCTCTGTAGTGTCTGATGTACCAGTGGATAGACACTCAGCGGCCCCCGCTTTGGTCTGCCGCTTTGTGGCTGAGCTGTTGTTGCTCTTGAACACTTCTATTTCACAGTAAAAGCACTTACAGTTGTCTGGGGCAGATCTAGCAGGACAGAAACCTCACAAACTGGCTTGTGGCAGAGGCGGCATCCTATGATAGAACCATGTTTAAAGCCACTGAGCTCTTCAGTGCGACCCTCTACTGCCAGTGTTTGTCTATGGAGACTGCAAGTCTGTTAGCAGTCGGTGTGGCTGAAACACCTGAACTTAATAATTAGGAGGAGTGTCCACATACTTTTGGCTACATAGTGTATCTGTACGTTATGTATGTTATATATCTATACGGTATAATCCTGCCGCTCACCCAGCCGATTAAGCCCGGTCTCAGCTCACAGAAGAACTTCAGATCAAACGAGCCGATTCGAGGGTTCAACTCTCGACCGATGAAGAAATCATACAGAGGATTTCCTAAAAACACAAAAACACACGGACAGACGGTCAGTAAACAGCAGAGTCTACAGAACGAAACTCACAGAAATCAGACACTAAGGGTGGATTTACACCAACAACCTTTAACCTCAAACAACCATCAACCTCAAACAACCTTTAACCTCAACTATCAACCTCAAACAACCATTAACCTTAAACAACCTTTAACCTCAAACAACCATCAACCTCAAACAACGATTAACCTCAAACTACGTTTAACCTCAACTATCAACCTCAAACAACCATTAACCTCAAACAACCATCAACCTCAAACAACCATCAACCTCAAACAACCATCAACCTCAAACAACCATCAACCTCAAACAAGCTTTAACCTCAAACAACCATCAACCTCAAACAACCTCAAACTACATTTAACCTCAACCATCAACCTCAACTATCAACCTCAAACAACCATTAACCTTAAACAACCTTTAACCTCAAACAACCATCAACCTCAAACAACGATTAACCTCAAACTACATTTAAGCTCAACCATCAACCTCAAACAACCTTTAACCTTAAACAACCATCAACCTCAAACAACCATAAACCTCAAACAACCTTTAACCTCAAACAACCATCAACCTCAAACAACGATTAACCTCAAACTACATTTAAGCTCAACCATCAACCTCAAACAACCTTTAACCTCAAACAACCATCAACCTCAAACAACCTTTAACCTCAAACAACCATCAACCTCAAACAACCATTAACCTCAAACAACCATCAACCTCAAACAACCTTTAACCTCAAACAACCATCAACCTCAAACAACCTTTAACCTCAAACAACCATCAACCTCAAACAACCTTCAACCTCAAACAACCTTTAACCTCAAACAACCATCAACCTCAAACTACGTTTAACCTCAACTATCAACCTCAAACAACCATTAACCTTAAATAACCATCAACCTCAAACAACCATCAACCTCAAACAACCATCAACCTTTAACCTCAAACAACCATCAACCTCAAACAACCTTTAACCTCAAACAACCTTTAACCTCAAACAACCATCAACCTCAAACAACCTTTAACCTCAAACAACCATCAACCTCAAACAACCTTTAACCTCAAACAACCATCAACCTCAAACAACCTTTAACCTCAATCAACCTCAAACAACCTTTAACCTCAAACAACCTTTAACCTCAAACAACCATCAACCTCAAACAACCTTTAACCTCAATCAACCATCAACCTCAAACAACCATCAACCTCAAACAACCTTTAACCTCAAACAACCTTTAACCTCAAACAACCATCAACCTCAAACAACCTTTAACCTCAACTATCAACCTCAAACAACCATTAACCTCAAACTACATTTAAGCTCAACCATCAACCTCAAACAACCTTTAACCTTAAACGACCATCAACCTCAAACAACCATCAACCTCAAACAACCTTTAACCTCAAACAACCATCAACCTCAAACAACCATCAACCTCAAACAACCTTTAACCTCAAACAACCTTTAACCTCAAACAACCATCAACCTCAAACAACGATTAACCTCAAACTACATTTAAGCTCAACCATCAACCTCAAACAACCTTTAACCTTAAACGACCATCAACCTCAAACAACCATCAACCTCAAACAACCTTTAACCTCAAACAACCATCAACCTCAAACAACCATCAACCTCAAACAACCTTTAACCTCAAACAACCTTTAACCTCAAACAACCATCAACCTCAAACAACGATTAACCTCAAACTACGTTTAACCTCAACTATCAACCTCAAACAACCATCAACCTCAAACAACCATCAACCTCAAACAACCATTAACCTCAAACAACCATCAACCTCAAACAACCTTTAACCTCAAACAACCATCAACCTCAAACAACCTTTAACCTCAAACAACCATCAACCTCAAACAACCTCAAACTACATTTAACCTCAACCATCAACCTCAAACAACCATCAACCTCAACTATCAACCTCAAACAACCATCAACCTCAAACAACGATTAACCTCAAACTACATTTAAGCTCAACCATCAACCTCAAACAACCTTTAACCTCAAACAACCATCAACCTCAAACAACCTCAAACTACATTTAACCTCAACCATCAACCTCAAACAACCATCAACCTCAACTATCAACCTCAAACAACCATCAACCTCAAACAACGATTAACCTCAAACTACATTTAAGCTCAACCATCAACCTCAAACAACCTTTAACCTCAAACAACCATCAACCTCAAACAACCATTAACCTCAAACAACCATCAACCTCAAACAACCTTTAACCTCAAACAACCATCAACCTCAAACAACCTTTAACCTCAAACAACCATCAACCTCAAACAACCATCAACCTCAAACAACCTTTAACCTCAAACAACCTTTAACCTCAAACAACCATCAACCTCAAACAACCTTTAACCTCAACTATCAACCTCAAACAACCATTAACCTTAAACAACCATCAACCTCAAACAACCATCAACCTCAAACAACCTTTAACCTCAAACAACCATCAACGTCAAACTACCTTTAACCTCAAACAACCTTTAACCTCAAACAACCATCAACCTCAAACAACCTTTAACCTCAAACAACCATCAACCTCAAACAACCTTTAACCTCAAACAACCATCAACCTCAAACAACCATCAACCTCAAACAACCTTTAACCTCAAACAACCTTTAACCTCAAACAACCATCAACCTCAAACAACCTTTAACCTCAATCAACCTCAAACAACCTTTAACCTCAAACAACCATCAACCTCAAACAACCTTTAACCTCAATCAACCTCAAACAACCTTTAACCTCAAACAACCATCAACCTCAAACAACCTTTAACCTCAAACAACCTTTAACCTCAAACAACCATCAACCTCAAACAACCTTTAACCTCAAACAACCATCAACCTCAAACAACCTTTAACCTCAAACAACCTCAAACAACCTTTAACCTCAAACAACCATCAACCTCAAACAACCTTTAACCTCAAACAACCTTTAACCTCAAACAACCTCAAACAACCTTTAACCTCAAACAACCATCAACCTCAAACAACCTTTAACCTCAAACAGCCATCAACCTCAAACAACCTTTAACCTCAAACAACCTTTAACCTCCAACAACCATCAACCTCAAACAACCTTTAACCTCCAACAACCATCAACCTCAAAGACTAAATCGAGGTTTATCTATTGGTCATGTTGTCCACAGCATTTCTACATATAAACACAAACCCCAGTAATTTACTGTACATATGTACTGTATGTGGTAAAAGAATCTTCACGTTTATATCACTATAGTACATATTATCATATATAATACATGGTATTATTATATTTGAATTATGAACGAGAGGAATTATCGTATTACTGTGTTTCCTCAGATGCGCTTTATGAATTCCTTTATGAATTTTTTTTACAGATTTTCCCCCTAATTTAGTCGTGTCCAGTTCACCTGTGAGCTGGGAGGAGAATGCTAACCGCTAACGCCCATGTTGGCCTGCATCGCACTGGCGCTGTGGCATCACTGATCAAACAAAATACTCTGGAGCTCAATTATTTATATTTTAAGAACCAATTCATTTTTGCCCCTCCACTCTTGGAGATGTGGCTCCACCCCTCACCTCACCTGGCCTGGTGTGGCTCCGCCCCTCACCACACCTGTCCTGTGTGTATACAGCAATTATCACATCCGTGTTTGTAGCGCTGTAGTGTTTCTGAGTGACCATATGACTGACCTGTGTTCCCTCCAAGTGCGAGCTGGTTTGCAGGTGCCCAGAAGGAGCGGATGTACAGGTACAGCGCCAACAGGTACGACACGCCGACCGCGCACACCGCTAACGGCAGCACCAGATCAAACAGGTAACCGAGCGGCATCCCCAAACACACACACACGGCCAGCAGAACCGCCGTCACGCAGAGCGCATGGAACCCTGCAGTGTTAGAACACAGACAGAACATTAAACAGCATGTGGAACCCTGCAGTGTTAGAACACAGACAGAACATTAAACAGACAGAACATTAAACAGCGCCTGGAACCCTGCAGTGTTAGAACACAGACAGAACATTAAACAGACAGAACATTAAACAGCACCTGGAACCCTGCAGTGTTAGAACACAGACAGAACATTAAACAGACAGAACATTAAACAGCACCTGGAACCCTGCAGTGTTAGAACACAGACAGAACATTAAACAGACAGAACATTAAACAGCACCTGGAACCCTGCAGTGTTAGAACACAGACAGAACATTAAACAGCATGTGGAACGCTGCAGCATTAGAACACAAACAGAACATTAAATAGACAGAACATTAAACAGCATGTGGAACGCTGCAGCATTAGAACACAGACAAAACATTAAATAGACAGAACATTAAACAGCATGTGGAACCCTGCAGTGTTAGAACACAGACAGAACATTAAATAGAGAGAACATTAAACAGTGTGTGGAACCCTGCAGCATTAGAACACTGACAAAACATTAAATAGAGAGAACATTAAACAGCGTGTGGAACCCTGCAGTGTTAGAACACTCGTCTGTAAATCACTGAGTGGTTTCGGCCCAGAATGCATCTCTGGTCTGATTAACTCTCCTGATCTGCTGTGGGTCAAATCGACCTGTTTTCAGTAAAAATACAGGAAGAATATTTTAATAATTTTCTAAGAGTGAAACTTTTTCTGCTTAGTTACTGTAATAAAAATTCCACACATGACGGTCGGGTCAGTCTGAGACAGCGGAGAACGGAGAACACAAACAGTAAAGACATACATGAAAAATATACAAATGAGTTCCTGCCTAAATGCAGGTTTTAGGTCTGTTGACTGAAATGCGCTCTTTCTGATATGAACTATTTTGTGGTACCAGTCGGACGCGAGTAACATGTATTTGAAATGTTGGTAATAAATGCTAAAATCTGAGAGACCAGATGAGCTTCAGTGTGGAGACACAGGCAGATGAATTCACTCCAAAGCACAACAAATATGTTTTCCCAGATTTTCAGCAAGACATAAAACGCCAAACGTCCATCTCTGAATCTTCTGTTTTGGTAGTTAAATGCACAAGGTTTCCCAGTTAGGCCACGCCCACTTTAGAGGCCCATATCAGACAGGACTAAAATTCTGATCATAAACTGACCTCAATGACATTATTCACTGAAGATATGAAGCAAATCTGAGGTGGTCAGTCAGGAATCTACAGATCAAAGCACTATTTAAATCAGATTACTTAAATATGCAAATGTACTGTATTACATAATGACTCAGGTCAGGCTGTGGTGGGTCTGAGAGTGACGGAGTGACGTCAGAGTGGAGTTTGGACTTTGCGCTGGTTTGGCTTAAACTGCACAAACAGCAGAACTGAAGGTCAGTAACTACTGTTATTCAGAGAACATTCAACAGTGTGTGGAACCCTGCAGTGTTAGAACACAGAGAGAACAGTACAGGTAACACATATAAGCGTATGTAAATAACACAGACACTGAGTTCAAACTCAGATCTGACAAACGCTGCATTTAAATATCACTGCATTAATAATCATGTTCATAGAGCTGTGTGAGACTGAAAGTGGGTAAAAATGTTACCGTTGATCGGATATTTCAGTTTGGATCCGTCTCTCAGAACCAGCCCCTCGGACTCCTGCAGACAGGTGAGGAGAACATGACAATGTAGGACTAGAAACAAGTCAAGTTTTAGACTTCTGCACTGGCCACTTTATTAGAAACACCCACCGTGTGTTTCCACTAACTGGTCACTTTATTAGAAACACCCCCTGGTGCTTCTACTGCGCGGCCACTTTATTAGAAACAGCTGGCTTTTTCATTCTCCCCCTTCACCTGGGAAGGGGTTTCTAATAAAGTGGCCACTCAGTGTTTTTTCCTGAGGGGTCTCAGGTGTGCTCACCTTTCCCACGGGCAGCAGGTAGAGGGCACTCTGCAGGCCAATCCAGCCGACGATAATGGCGACGGCAACCGGGTCCCACAGAAAAGTGGAGTGGGGCAGAGGGGGGGGCCACTGCAGCAGAGCGCCACCTGGAGTCCGGCACACACTCAGCAGGTACAGAACCGTCAGGGGGAGGAACACAGGTATACACGCCGCACCTGTACACACAGAGTCAGAGTCAGAGTCAGAATCAGAATTAGAGTCTGAATCAGAGTCAGAATTAGAGTCTGAATCAAAGTCAGAGTCAGAATCCGAATAAGTTTCAGGATCAGATATGAATGAGAATCAGAGTGACTTTTATTAATGAGATGTTATTTAAAGTGTTTATTTGTTCAGAAAAACACTAATATTAAGAATATTAATTTTTGTGTTAATGTGTTTGTTTAACCATTTGATGAAGGAACCTCAGTACAGTTACCACCCAATACTTTACACTGTGTGTTTATTTGTATTTATTCTAATGTTATAGAGTGTTATTACTGTCAAAAACACACCTGACCAGATGTGGTTTTATATATAAGACACTGCTCTGAGTAGAGCCTGTAAACAGGAACAGGTGAGTTTTACCCAGAGTTCCTCCGAACTCCATCTCTGTGTGTTGGGCTGGTTTGTGTTTGTTGAGCTTCATTCTGCAGCTCAGAGATCTGAATCTGATCTAACGGTCACTCCTGTCCTTCAGTGCCCACACCTGCAGCTCAGTCCACCTAGAGCACAGGTAAATACAGGTAAACCCAGGCAAACACAAGTAAACACAGGTAATTACAGGTAAATACAGGTAAATATGGGCAAAAATAGGTAACAGCTCACATGCTTTGCTGATTTTCTAATCGCAGCCTCAAAAAGCCTCAAAAACAAAACATATCTGCTCATTTTAGTGAACAGTTACTGTTTGTTGTTCAGAATTTACAATCACCTAAATAATTCACAACATAAACACACATTTTGTTTTATTAATGTTTTAAAATGATAAATCCAGCCAACAAACAATAAGTGAATGAGTAAATAAATGAATGAATGAATAACAAACAAACAAATAAAGAAAATAAATTAAATAAATAAAAATAAATTGTAAGTAAATAAATACATTAATTGATGTAGATTTTGTGTTAAATTTGCAACTAAAACATCAACAGAACATGTAATTTGATCAGAGGTGCACAAACTTTCGCACGGTAAACTGTGTGCATGTAGAGAAATGTTTTCATACATGAAACACAGGTGAACACAGCAGCACGTGCAGGTGTTTGTTTGGTAAACAGAACAGAGAAAAAAACAAAAACACTTTGAACTTAAATATGAATCAAGTTAAACTCAGCGTTGTTATTAAAGCCGCTTTGTTATTATTAACCCAATAAACAAACCTCCTTATTATTAATACAGCATTAATATTAAACCCCTCAGAGTCTCACCTTCTGCCTCAAATCCGGCATTAATATTGATCCAGTATCAGTACTGATCCGGTATTAGTGTTAGTCTCGCTGTGTCACTGTTAGTCTCAGTATTAAACTCTCTGTGTCAATCCGCTCCTAGCAATGATTCAGGATGACGCGCATGCGCAGCCCTGCGCACCGCACACTGCCTCATCGTGTCCGACCAATCAGCGCTCAGCGCCGTCATCATAAGAGCGTGGAGAGGGAGCCGGACAGCCAATCAGAGCGAGGAGCAGGCAGGAGGTCCCGCCCCCAGCCAATAGGAGAGCGCTCTGAGGCACGCGATGGGCTGGAGGTCTGTTTCCCGTGCTCCTATTGGGCACTGCAGCTCCGAGGCCCCGCACCTTCACTCGCCGGCACACGCGCGCACACCTGCGTCACCTTCAATCACACTGATTCACTTCTGACCGTTTTATCCGGTTTAAAACAGCGAATTTGAATCAGATTCATTTTATTCAGTGAAACACAAACAGACAC